TTAATATCTTTGTTAAATCAGAAGTTTTATATAAAATTAGTAGTAGAAGAGTTAGCAAGAGTCGGGGTGGACTGGTTGGAGACCCCTATGTATTAAGATAGGGAACAGAGCATCCGGTCTCAAAGCTATGTATTAAGACAGGGATAAGATTTCGCATGTATTCAGATAGGTAATAAGTTTTCTAATGTGTTAAGATGGTAAGGTTTCAGATGGTAGGATTGAGAAAAATTTTTCGGCGCCCGAATTTTTTGAAGCTCAATTTTGCCAATACTTGCGTTTCTTAGCTAACTTCTACGATTTGTGATATGTATGGGCTCACATACATTACGGTCTTGTCTTACAAAACTTCAGTATGGTAAGTTTCGGATAGTAAGTTTCAGAAAATCTTCCACGCTGTCTTGCATGCCCACAAATAATAGAAAAAGTAGCTGAATTTTGAGCAACCATTTCGTATGAGGTATAAATCAAAAATGATTATCCGAAACCTTGCGAAACAAGAGAAAAACTCGCGTAATTCTTACATACACAAAAGGAATTTTTTCACCTGTAGCGTCCCTTAGTACTATTTTCATGCTGTGGATAGAAATTCAAATTAAAAAATTACTTACCTTTAATTTGAACATTTTCTCAGCTCTTTCTCATAAAATTTTTCCAGACTTTCTCCTTTTTTGAGATCTTTGAGGATGTATGTTGGAGGTTTTTTTTGTAGATATTGCCAAAATTTCAAAAACCTCATCTGTAAAGTGAGGCGTGTATCCTTTTCGGAATAGAATTTCCTTTTTCGAAATTCTCACCCTATCCCTAATTTTGATGATTGGTTTAGTACATTTCATGAACGATTTGTTATACAAAATGGATGAAAAATCACTGCTTTCCACATCTCTCGGAGATTTTCCAATTGATCGAGTTTTGAGGTATTTCAATGTAGAAACAAATTGCTGCAGTCTGAGGACAAATTTTTCACTATGATCTCAACATGCAACGACATAAAATATGTTTTGAAGACTGATATGGTCTCTCTGCAAATGCAGCTTTTGTTTCACTCTTTGTTGAGTAAACTTCAATGTCTTTCTTCTGGTAAAATTTTTTAACCGTTTCCCCATATTCTGTTCTTTTATCAACTCAAAGTTTTCAGTAGTGTTTTTTCGAGAAACAATTTTTTTGAAAGCTTGTAAAGTGTCTTTGGCATACTTTGTTTTCATTGTTTGAATTCTGACAAACCTCGAAAAAAAATCAACAGCAACTAATAATTACTTGACTCCATTGTTTTGACTAGCTAACTTGTCTGCAAAAGCCAAGTCCATACACCAGATTTCATTGATATATCTAGGAAAAGCTTTAAGTCTTCGAAAACGCCTGATTGGTGGACCAATTTCTGTTTACGATGTCTTGGTTTGTAAGAATTGTTCTACATTCTCTTTTGAAAACCACTCGCTTTACTCAAGTTTTGAACTGAACCGTACGCAGCACTACCCCTAGAATACAATCTGTTTAGTCTTACCTTTTCAGATTTTGAAAGGGGTTCAAGTTCCCCTGTCTTTTGCTTTGGCATTCTTGTTAATAACAAGTTTAGGAAGAAGTTGAGTCGCTTCCAAAATAGTAAGTATCTGCAAAATTAGTATTTTTTGCTTCAGTGCACACACACACAGTCTACAATAGATTCTTTTGTATCTAGAGTTTCTAATATGATATTGTCTGACTGACTGAGTTTAATTCTAGGAGAGCTGAAAAATGAATCTTTCAGGTGTTTATTGTTTTTCGTTTTTAGCCTCGCATTTAAAACACTGTAAATAGTAGCAAAATTGTTGGGTACAATCTCCTTTTTTCTTGTTTTGGTTAAAATTTTTGATTTCTTGGAAGTGTACTTTGTGATTGATAAACTGAGTACGGAAGTAAAACAAACTGTTCCATACTATGTCAATATTTTAATGACAAAGGGGGTGATGATAGATATCAATTGTGAACCTTTGGCTCAATTTAAAACAATTCTTCTTATGTATAGAGGAGTTCTTTTTTGAGTTAGTTCTGAATTTTTTTTCGATATTTTACTACGTCTTTTTTCCGAGGGTCTCGAGGCTCTCCTCTTAATAGGTTTGCTAAACACTCACTCAGAAATTGAATGAAATCCTTTGGGCAATTGAGAATGAATTGTTTTCGAAATCTTAGGGAAAATTTTGTAAATATTGGGAGAAGAGAGACGTATTGTGTACTCATCGTCCAAAAACTTTGTCTCCATTTTAGCTGGTAAAAAAACCTTGTTGGCACTAAGCCACTATTAGAGCAAAACCTAAGTGAATCAACTGTTTTTGGGTTTAAGGCAATAAGTAAATGACATGGCCATAAGGAACTGATGCTGCATCTTGATACCACTCTTTTAATTGAGATCCTAGACCTAATTGTTGACTAAATGTATTGACTTCGGAAACATCTCTCGGTGAATTGAACAAAACTATGTGTGTATTTTGTAATTCTACATCTCATCACAACTTGCTTTGATGCAACAAAATGTGTTTTTTGTATATTGTGTTCAGACCCCTGTGCCTTCCAGCAGTGGCAACTTTTACAAACTGTTTGGAGTTTGAAATTTCATCACAAGAACCATCAAATATAAGCAGATACTTAATTTCAACGGGCTGTATATATTCGTGGGGGACAATTAGTGGACGGGTTTCGTCAACGTTAAAAATTCTGGTCATTGGGCAGAATATATACATTTGTCGGATCGGGTCGTAGTTTCTAATGATTCCTTGCATGTTAGTGTCTTTTATACAATATGTTAAGTTTAAGAAGAATGGTGAAGGGTATTTGGAGTTAATAAATTGAAATCGTTGGTGTGGGTTCCGTGATGGTGTATTAGTTGTGTAAGGTAGTTGTATGAATTTATAATGAGTGTATGAATGAGTTTGTTTTGTGCGTAACATGATTTGATGTGAGCAGTGTTGGAATATTTGTTCTCGGGGTGGGTTTTTTTCTTCAGGCAATTTTCGATTTTTTAACTAGCTATTTTTGACGAAAGTTTTTTTTATAACATTCAAAAGATTTTGTTGTCTTGAGCTTAAATTTAAAATGATATTTTACTTGTGATCATTTTTCGTATAGCTATGGGGGGTTTAATGATTGCCATTTTGGCCAATTTGTGACAGTTAACGCTCCATATATTTCGCGCTATTATCGCGTGAGCGGATATTTATTCTGTCTTAGAAAACGTTCCAAATTGGTTCAAGGAAGCTTATTTGCCATAGTTGATTACTTAATAGGAGCGAAAACTATTCTTTTAAAATTTTTATGACGTGTGGGGTGATGATTTCATAGGAAAAATTTCAAATTTTAGAAAAATTAATTTTTCAATTTTTTAATTACATTTTATTTATTAATGATATTTATGTTATTTCTGCCCCATAACCTTTCAAAGGTAGACGGAACAATCAGGGTTTTTCCCCGATACAAGCAATCTTGTTGTTCCGACTTTCGATACGAAAGTAACGGAATATTTGTGCTCTGGGTGGTCATATTTCGACTTTTTAACTAGCCATTTTTGACAGAATTTTTTTATCGTTCAAAAGCTTTTGCTGTCCTGAGCTTAAATCTGAAAAGATATTTCACCTGTGATTTTTTTTCGTAAAGTTATGGGGTTTTAAAATCTGCCAATTTGGCCAATTTGGGACAATTAACGCGCGATATATTTCGCTCTATTAACGCGTGAGCGGAGATTTAATCCGTCTTAGAAATCGTTCCAAATTGGTTCGAGAAAGCTTATATGCCATAATTGATACAATAATAGGAGCGAAATCTATCTTTTTGTACTTTATATGGCGTGTGGGGGTATGATTTTCATAAAACATTTCAAAGTTTAGAAAAAAAATTCATTTAATTTATTATATTTAATTTGTTTTGTTATTACTGATCATGAAACCTTAAAAGGCAGTGGGAACATTCAGGGCTTTGCCCTGATACGAGCACTCTTGTTATGCTTTTGAAGTAAAAGTGAAGAAAAGCAAAATTTTAATCAGTTGTCTAGGCTTTTGAATCTATCTAACTTTCTCTGTACTTTTTCTAGATTGAGTGGTGTTGTTCAAGACTAAAAGTACAAAACAGTGAAATCCCGAAAATACTTCTCGTAGGGGTAAAAGACTCACAGGTGAACCATTTGTGGTTGTGATTTTTAATCTGTTCTCTGGAGATGAAAGAAAATACTTTAATTTATTATTTCAAACGCCATAATGTTTACAGTGAGCAAAAAAGTGGCTATTCCACACATTTTTTAGTGTGATGACTAACTGTGTCGGCTAATTGAGGCGACTAATAATTTTTAAATTTGTTAAATAATTGTTAAAAAGTGATGAGGGTTGATTGAATCAAACGTATCTTGATTTTAGGCTTAACTTTAAGTTTTAACCAATTCGACTTCATGCCTCAACTTTTAGTTTGGATTTTTAAGGGAATTAATCATTATCCTAATTAGGTAGCTTTCAAACCCGTATAAATTTAAGAATGACTGTTGGAGATGAAAAATGAAAAAAGCTCTGAGCTCAGGACATCAATATTATCAAACTAGAAGTTAAAAATAAGTCCTTAAGGGCTAATTGAAAATTCGAGCTTTGTAAGGAAAAGCAAAAAACCCACACAAGCACAAGTTTTCCGTTATGATGCTAAAATAAGAAGGCTAAATAGACTACGGAAACTTGACTTAAAACTTAACACTAAGCTCATAATTTTTAATTTTTTAAAGATTTCAAGCATTATAATTTACAGCACTTTTTCAAACGAAATCAAAATAAAAAAAATTGTGTTACTTTTTGTGTTACCTAATTTGTGTTAACGAAAAAAAATTGAACCCCTGTTTTGATGGATTAGATCATTTTTTGCCAAAAATCACTGTCTTTTGTTTAGCAACAGCTATTCTTAAAATAGAAAACGTTGAGGCAACCAATATGTTCATGTTCTAACAAAAATTACCACACTTGCTCAATAACAATCAATTACTCAAGTACCACAAAAACTTCACTACCGTGCGACCCAGTTTAAATTAAACAATAGCTTTTTTCAATAACTACTAAAAAAGTTAACATTTTTTCTACGTTGCTAGTAATACTTTCGAAGTATTAAGAAACGAAAGGCAATTTTTTAATCAGTTGTCTAGGCTTTTCAACCTATCTAACTCTCTCTGTAATTTTTCTATTTCTTTTTTTTCTGTCTTCTCTTTCTTTTTGCTTTCTTATTTCCTCCAATTCTTCCTCGTTGTCAGATTCTTCCTCCTGTTCGGATTCTTCGGTTGGTGTTTCTTCCTCTTCTTCTTCTTCTCCTTCTTCTTCTTCTTCGATTGGTGTTTCTTCCTCTTCTTCTCCTTCTTCTTCTTCTCCTTCTTCTTCTTCTTCTTCTTCGTCATTGCCCATTTTCAGACACAAACCGTAGGGTCGTATGTACTTGGCTTCGTTCAAAATGCGGTAGTTCGGCTCGTCGCTCGGGATTCGAATCTTGTCAGGTTTAATTCGGACCTAAAAGATCGATGAACGAATTATTTGCAAGAAAATGATTACAAACATATCCATTTTTTCTTTAAAATTTGCAGTGCCTGAACTATGTTTTTAAACTCAAGTGAATGTTTTTTAATAAAAATTCTAATATTGTGTTTAAAAAATCAACTTTTCCACAACAACAAGTCTAAAATCATAAAACAGTGGAATCAAAAATGTTGTTCAAAGTTACTTCTTGTGACACATTGAAGATCACCAAGAAAAAACATCAAGGAGCTCTAACAGGTTGCATTTACTTACGATAACCGTCGACACACTTTCCACTTTCAAACAATGGTTTTAGTAATTGAAACAGAACCTAAATGAGGTTTTGAGTGCTTACCTCACTGGAGTTTCAAGTACAATAATCAATGATATTGGGTTTTTATTGTCAGTCTCAAAAAATTTCAAATAAATTCGATTAAACATTGATTACAATCGGAATATTTTTTAACTCAAAATAATCCATTAAAATCGATTAGAAACACATTGCAATTAGAGGTAATTGAACCAAACAGCAAAATTATCACATTT